ATTTTGTTGCAGAAAACAACAGTCAAACTCTGAAATAGCTCACTGTGGGGTTGTTTTGCACATGCATGGATTTCACCTGCTTACTCAGTGTTTGATGACTCGTTGCTGATTCTGTGGACTGACTCCATTGAAAAGCATTGTGAAATTCCAGCTTTACCTGTGAGGGTTTTTACATGCATGCAACAACATAGTTCGGTGTTGTGGGCGTCAAACCCTGTGAAAATCGGTCTTAAGTGGGCAGATCAGCTCTTGAGATATCCATGTGGTCTCCAGGAATTTAGAAACCTATGGGCAAGGTAACCTCAATTGGCCTTCCTAAACAGGAAAAGTAGAACATAGCAGGGGGCAATCATAAGACCACGATAGTTGTGCCACATAAACCAAGAATATAAGAAAATATAAATATAAAATGACCACTCCTGAGGCCAAGGACTGTTTACCAGCATTTGCTGCAGTTGAGTGTTCTTTGTATACATTTTAAAAATGTTTGCCATGTCATTGTGTATTTTAAAACTGGTAAGAGCTCACATTTGAGAAGGAGACAGGAGTTGCAATTGGAGCTGGATCCAACCTTTGAACTCTGCTTATGAAAGAGCCTGGTCTGATTCCCCCCCTCCCCCACCAACCTCCAAAGACTAGGATCTTTTTATCTGTTCTCTGAGCAAGGACAGCACATCAGAAGCAGCAGGACAAGTTGACGTTTGCATAGCAGAATGCTCTGGATCTGCCCTGCAGACGATCGCTGACTGAGGTGGGAGGACAGGACAGTCTCTTAGTCCTTCCGTTCCAAGGGTGGGGTGATACACGGCTGAAGCTCAAATGAAGCCAGCAACTGTGTGCAGTCCGTGGGAGGGGGGCGGATGGGGAAGGTGTTGGCCTGCAACCCCCATAAAGCCTGGTCAGCATAGCCAATGGTGAGGGATGCTAGGAGCTGTATTGCAGCTGTCTCTGTAGGGCGGCATGTTCCGTATCGCTGAAGTAGCTGCTCCTGTACTTAAATGTTGCTTTGAATTCTTTGGTTATGTGTACTGTATTCAGATTATTATGTTGAAAGCTGCTCAAAGTACTGCATAGAGTGAAGGCAAATTTCACAAAGAAATGCACACACGCTGGACTGTCAGGATCGTTCATAGCCTTGGGATTGTCCATGTTATGCCCTGGGATGAGGTCCTGCCAGCAGAGGGGTGACTTGGAACTAGGCTGAGATTATACAGAGGAGCCTGACTGCTGATCGGCGGAACTGGGGATTCTGGGTAGTGCTGGTCCATGGATTTGCTGTGATGTACGTCAGCTGCCTTCAGCACTAGAGATATTAAATGAAAGGCAAGAGAACAAATTAATAATAAGCAAACTATCAAAAGTTGCACACTTTCCTGCCATTTTCACGTCCACACAGTCTGCACCTATGTGCAGTCACAGGGGAGCGGAGAGGCATGAGCGAGGTTTGAATCCTCAGACTGAAGTGCCTGTAGGCCTGCTGTGGTAACCTGGACATCTCTGAAACCATAAGTGCTAGAATCTTGCTTGAAAAGTAACAAGTGGTCTCTGCTTGCTCGAAATCCTCTTTTAAACAACCTTTTCACAAAGGACACAATGTTTGCCATGTCATTGTGGCTCATGGGTAAAGAAATGGGTAAAGAAAGGGGAGTTCCTGGGCTAGGGAAGTCTCTTGCCTACAACCTATACTGTGTAGGCAAAAGCCTGTGCTGCTTGCTCTCAGGGAGTCTTGTAAGATTGCTTGTCCCAAACTAAACAGTTATTTTGTAGGGGAAAGGTCCTCCAGCCACAGACACCATTTCCCCCTCCTCATCAGAGAGCAAACATCTGTATTGTTTGCCAAAGCTTCCTTCTTCCCTAAGGCTGTTGAAAGTTTGCTTAGTACTGTACAACTGTGGAGAGGAATAAGGCAACTCATTCCAAGAGCACCATTTGATTTCCTCTCCCTCACCCCTGATTTTACTACTGTGAAAATATGGTAACATGCAGAGTGGTCAGGGTGTCTAGGGCTGCCTCTTCCAATTTTGAAATGTTGTTGTGCTGCAAATCCTGTTGCCCACACCGTAATTCAGGGGTATGGGACTGTTGTTCTACACTTCTGGAACATGCTGGGTTGGGAAAAACTGGGGGGTTGGGATTGTTTTTAGGTTATTGGGAGCTCAGAAGTAAAACCTTTATTTCTTTGGAACTGCCTCACAGTTTGTGCCCTGAAAGAACAACCCTCCCTCAAGAAGATCTATGTTAGCCGCCCCGAGTAGACGTGGTCTAGAGGGGTGAGGTATAAATTTGATAAATAAATATATAAAATTAGGACCACAGTTTCTGAACTGTGGAGATGTAGCGCTTGTTCTGTAGAGCTTGCATTTCCCTGAAGCTGGCATATTTAGCAACAGGATTGTGCATCTGGTAAGCTGATGGTCAGCCAGAATTTCTCAACCAATTTCTAACCAAGGGGTGGCTCATAGCCCGGTGGTTGAAGACATAATTTCCATGGAGAAGATCTTTGCTCTGTTTCTCAGCTTCCTCAGTTAAAACGCAGTGCTAGCTCTGTTCAGGCATGCTGAGGAAACGTGAAGAAAGAGAGGGTGGTAGCCTCTTCACCACCATCTCAAGTTCTGTTGCTTTCTGTGTCTGAAAGTTGACATTTTGGAGAACCTCTATGGACCTCAATGGCTCTTTGAATGGGAGCCCCCACTCTTACAGAGTGACAGAAGTGGAGGTGAGGGGCTAGCGTTCTGTTGCTTTCTGTGTCTGAAAGTTGAATTTTGGAGAACCTCTATGGACCTCAGTGGCTCTTTGAATGGGACCCCCTACTCTTACAGAGTGACAGAAGTGGAGGTTAGGGGCTAGTGTATTCCCACTCTTCATGTTTTTATTCAGACGTTTTCATCGCTACTGAGTAGGGCTACTATTGAGTCAGAGTTCCTAAAATGAGTAAGCAATAGAGCTTTGGGGCAACTTTCCCAACCTGGCCTTCTCCAGATGTGTGAAAACTACAAGCCCATTATTCCTAAGATCTCTGGCCACTGGAATTGTAAGTCAACAGATCTGCAGTACACCAGCAAGGAATCACAGCCCCCTTTTAAAAGTTAAGGTAACTTTTGAGTGCAACTCCCGATGTTATATGAGATGGGCCCTTTCATGTGGATTTCTCCCCCCCCCCTTTATGGTGCTTTCAGTAAATCTGTAAATGGTGGTCCATTCAGGTGGCCATTTTTAACTGAATGTGTGTATTCATTACTTCAACAACAACAACCTGGGAGGTAGCAAAGATGGGGAAAACTCTTTTCCTAATGCAGTGGAGAACAGTTGCTAGTCTGCAAAGCAAAGACTTTGGAGTTGTTATTTAAGTGGGTGTTTTTACCCCAGGTGGAGGAGAGAGTTCTATTCCAGCCAACCACCCTTCACCCTCCTATGCATTGGAGGACAACAAGTCAGTAGAGGGAGAAACCTGCTATCCTTGGGGTGGCTGTGCAAAACCTCCTTGGTCATGTCTACAAATTTCCACACCTAGTGAAACCAATCCCTTAAAGTGGGGATAGCATCATTTTAGCAGTTTATGGCAACTAACATCCTAGCAACAAAGATTTCAATTTCCAAACCATTACTTCAAATATCTCTACAAAGAATTAGAAATGCCAAAGAGAGATGCGGTATAAAAATGCATGTAATGATTGGTACTTGGACATACAGTACTCTGTTCTTGCAAAAATAGTTGACTAGCAGGCACTCCTTCCAAATCTCCATATTGCTAAACCTATCTTTGCACTTTGTAGAGAAGGCTCAGTCTTGCTTTTTTTCCATTAATGCCCTCTACAGTTCCTGAGCAGATTAGTTAAGGAACCATATTTTATGATTCTGCTGTTGTAGTTCAGCTGAGGTCAAGGGTCTTCTCTCTTATTTGTTCAACTGGTCGCTTACACAACAGAAGTACATTACTGGTTTGTTTAAAAATCTGCACTAATAGGCCATCTTATGAAAATAGAAGGTTTTTTTTTTTCTTTTGACAAGGATCTTAAGATCCTGGGTTGGATCCAGATTTATCATACTTAGAATAAATCCACTGAAAGAAATGGGACTTAACATTAGCCATAACTAACGTCCTGTTGTTTTAATAAGTCTATTCTTAGTATGACTGAATCTTGGTTCCAGCTCACTGAGAAGAGTTCCTGGTTTTTTGCCACTACATATTTCATACATGATTTTTCCCCTAAGCTGTATTGGAGATGTCTGGTTGTTTCCAGTAATTAATGCTGTCCTCATAACAATTTATATTTGGTTACTGCCATTTAAAAACTAAAATTAAAAAACTGTGTGTTCAAGTTTTAACTTTAGGTTTGAATTGCTAGATTTGGTGATTTTTTTTTAAATGGGGGGTAATTATTTGGTTTCATATTGGTTTATGTTTAATTATTTTAATTACAGTATATTTAGTTAATTTTGATGCATTTTAAAATTCTAGTTGTTATATACTATTTATTACCCCTTTTTAATCTGGTGATGAATTATGTTATATAAGCAATAAATCTGGACTAAAATGATCTGAATTGTCCTTCAGAGCAGTAAACAGCCTGTACATTGCTCATAGACAGAAGTGAAAAACATGTGGCCTTCTAGCGCTAGTTCTCCTGCCATCATCTTTAGCAAATCAACCCAGCACATGGCTCATTCCATGACACCTGTATCCAATAGCAGATGGTACCCCCACTGTGGTTGGTAAGGGGAAAGATGCGATGCCACAAAATCTTCCAAAGCATCTCTCTCCTTCTGACATCACAGGAAGTAAGCATAGATGAGGTGCTGACCCCCCTGAGGGTAGTGTATGCCTGACATGGGACAGTGCCCTGTATACTTTATGGGAGGTGTGCATGAGAGGGTCACATATTACTTCTTAAGGATACAGTGGAACAAAACAGAGAGCTGAATGTGTATCCTTGGAATTGCTTGTTTTTCCTTGCGAATTAACTAAAGTCGGTAATCTTCCTCCTTTTTTAAATTTCTAGTTGATGACCAGCCACAGTGCCTCTGCTGTGTGCTGTTGCCATCTGTGGTGGTGCTGCTGGGCATATACAGAGGGAAGATGGACTTCTGGACACAGCTGGGATTATTGCTGTGGAAGAATTTCACCTGTAGGAAAAGGAAAACGGTAAGACAATATGGTTGCTTTTTGCTCATGAATTAGACAAAAGCATTTTTCTCCTTGACCTCTGACATAGCATTTTTTTTCTCTTCTGATTTTGTTCCTACTGGAGGTTGGATATTACCTGATAGACACCCTGAACATGACACACCAGACACAGTTGTAACAGAATGGAGAAATGTCCAGTCCATTGACATTGCAATTCCAGGGGATGCCAGAGTTGAAAATAAAGAATAGGAAAAACCAACACAATACCTGGCAATCGAAACATCTTGCTTATGCATGAAACACACTTCAGTGGTCCCTGTAGTCATTGGGGCTTTGGTAACAGTGTCAAGAAATTTGACACATTATTATAAGCAGTTGCAGATCTCAGAAACAACACCATACAAAAAATGGGCAATATTAAGAACAGCATATATACTACGTTGATATTTAACATACTTAGGTTTTTGGTTAAAACTTGTATCTTTTTAGGTAATACCAGCCAATGTTTTTATAATTTTGATTGTCTGTGCCTGGCATTTTTAATCCTCATCCTCATCTGCTGCCGCTGCTGCCACCAAGTCACTTCTTACTTATGGCAACCCTTTCCAGGCTTTTCAAGGTAGAGAATAGTCAGAAACGGTTTCTCTTCTTCTGGAGGCACCTTGAGACTGTGTAACTTGCCTAAGGCTATACAGGCTCGCTCTACTTTCAGAAGGCACAGTGGGGAATCGAATTCCAAACCTCTGGCTCCACAGCCAGGTACCTACACCGCTCAGCTATTTAGCCAATCAGCAGATAAAAATCCTTTCAGATATAAGAGCCTTCTTAAACTATTAGCCTCCTCCTCCTCCTCCTCCTCCTCCTTCTTCTTCTTTGGCAAAATAAATACACAATTGTGGCTCAAATGAGGAAAATGGAGTAGGATTTGTACAGAGTGTGGCAAACACAGGGGGTAAGCAGTCTTGTACAAACTTTAAAAAAACATGACAGAACTTTGGGAATTTTACCACAGAGAAGTACCTGACAAGACAAAAATCCCAAGTCAACTGCATCTTAGAAAATAAAGCTCTGCTGGTAGTTAAGAAAAATTTTATGATTTATACGCGTGCAATACTTGGATTGAAATCAACTGAAATGTCACTATACAGTAAGAAGGTTCTTAGAGTTCTCCGCAGCTCTTGGAGGGCTGAGTGTTAAACCAAAAATAATTAAAAAAAAATTCAAGGGGAGATCCTCTATCTCGTCCTCCCTGCTGATCTGGCCCAGATCTTCAGGAGGTGAACTGTGCCCCTAACCACCCACTCCCAAGAATTCTGAGCTAAAGAATATGGCTCCTGGGCTAAAGATGGTGGTGACATCTGCTCCGGATTAGGTACCATGGTTACCTGAGTTTATGCAGATAGAGGGAAGCGAGGGTGAATCTCTCGTGTAGACAACCATAGATAAGTATGCAAGAAGTGTGAGCAGCTTATGGCTCTCCAAGTGATACTGGATCTCAACACCCATTATCTTTTAGCAGTGGCGATATTGGCTTGGGTCTCATGAGAGTCCAACAAGATCTGAAGGCCATGGTGGTGAGAGGATTCTTGTAGCTGTAACGCAAAACAGTAACTTCTCCAAGTTCTGATGAAATTGACCAAACACACTCAACCATCATTGTGTAAATGCCCTTTCCCCTGCCTGGTCACCTCCTGGTCTTCATTTCTTAGTGCTGGGATTCAAACATGGTGGAAGGAGACTTGTGTCTCCTCCGTTCTTTCGCACACATGTAGTGTTGGAACTTCTGTTTGAGCAGATGCAATGCTAAAAAAAATTGGTGCCGTCATGGTCTAGATCAGGGGCACGGGATCTGTAAACAGGTGGGCGCAGATGTTACCCATGCATTATGCCCAAACAAAGGTGGTTCTGATGAGCCACCACATTTCATGAAGATTTGTAGTGATGGAGCAGCCAGGATGGCAGTGACATCAAGCCCAATTGATGGCAGGGATATCAGCTTGTGGGTTGCAGTTAATATTGTGCCTATCCTTGAAGGAGATTGCATCATCATCTTAGATAGCGGGTTGTTCTCGGGTAGATAAATGAACAAGAAAAGATGGTGAATAAGATGAGTGTGTGCATGTTTGCTCAGCCCTTGTGATTGTTTTCTGCCCACAGGGTTCAGCCAGGATATACTTTGTCCTGGATGTCTTCCAGCAGCACAAATGTAACTCTTGAGCTGCATATGTCAAGCTGAGCTTTGTACCCAACTTTTGCAATACTTATTTCAGCTGCTGCCGTTGGGAAAACTGGTATGGAAGGGAAATGCCGGCTAAGCTGTTAACTTGATGAGCTCTTATAATGCAAAGAACCTTTCAAGCAAACCCACAATAAGCTGCAAAAAACTTAAGCAACAATTTGAAATGGAAATCTCTGAATGATGTACACTGAATTACAACAGTGGAGTGTGGTAGTTGAATAATAGCAAGTGGAATCTGCAACAGAAAGTTGCTACACAGAATACTTGCTCTTCTGGATTTAAGCCAATCAGTTCATCCCTCTCCCACCCCCCAATTTGTGATTTTCTCATCACTCAGAGATAATAGAATAGTAATTGACTGTGGGCACGGTACTCATTAAATTGTTTCGTGCTTCCTCCAATATTCAGAGTTCTTAAATTTATCACCATTTTGTTTTTGTTTTTTATCAATTGTTACCTTTATATCCCACCTTTCCTGTAGTGGCTTCAAAGTGCTGTACATGCTTCTCTTTCTCCCCAGTCTTTGCTCATAATGACCCTTTCAGGTAGGTCAGACCCGTGGAATTTCATGGCTCCATGGGGACTTGAATATGGATCTCAGAAAGGCCCTGCTCATCACTCTAGTCACTGAACTACATTGGGTTTTCCCCATGCATGCTGATACATTCCTCTTGTGCAGAGGTGGTACTGTTTCATCACCTAAGCCTGAATAATGAAAATAGCAGGATTTTAGCACTTTTACAGAATTGTGCCTCTTTTCCTGATTGCTCACGGAGTCCTGCCTTCATCAAAGCCCTGGAGGGCCTCAGTTGTACTCAGGGACACACAACTATTCAGCCTTGAGTAAAAAAAGTTTTTAAAAAACTCTTGCTCAGTGGCACACACAATAAAAGTGATTATAGGAGAGAGGTGGAAAGAAGGGTCCATGAAGTTGCAGGCTTTGGACCTAAACTCTCAGAGTGTGGGATTCTGTGGTTCATTGACATGTCCTGAGGACCTGAGATTTGGACATTTCTCAGAAGCACCCCTGACAGATGCCACTATTGCTGAATTCACAGCTTCACTGGGTCTTTATCTTGTCTGTTATACATACACCATTTTGCAGTTGCTGCTAAAGAGGCCACCTCATGCGACATCACAGGGCCCTGCCCCGAGGTCACAGACTTTGGCCTTGAAATGCCAGAAAATTGCTAGCTGTTGCAACGTGGCTTGTGGTTTAGTGCCACTGGTAACACTGAATGGGGACAAAGAGTGGTGGATCATCACATGAAAATCATTTAACTCGTGCATTTGCTACAATTATACCCTCCCCATTTTGCCACAGAGGCTAAGGTGTTCTGTGTAGGATTCCTGCAGGGTCTTCCATCAAAGTAGTAGCTGGGAGTCAGACCTGCTTAAGTTCAGTAAGATTTTAATAGCTGCAGTTTTAGATGAGGTATCCGTGTTAGTCTGTGCTGGCATATCAAGCAAAAACAAAAGAAAAAGGCCCAAGGAAGTGGGATTGCCCACAAAAACTCACATTAAAACGTAGCAGCTAGTCTTTAAGGTGCTACAATGTTTTGTTTTCTTTATTTTTTTATTTTGTTTTTCCGTGGTATCTTCCTTCAGACCAAGATATGGGCTAAATGGTGTAAATTCACCTCTTTTATACTGCTACAGTATTTAAGATACTGCTACAGTATTTAGATACTGCTACAGTATTTAGATATTGCTACAGTATTTGAGGGGAAGGGGGACTTGAGATTTAGCTGAGGTACAGTAACTTCCCTTGCCCTCCTTTATACCATAGCTGTACCTTAAATGTCAGTTACCTAATTTTAAATGTCCACATGTTGATAGAGTACATAAGGACTGAAACAGGATACGTTTCACAGTAGCTTTGCAAATGAGTTCATGAAGCATTTCATTTGAGCGAAGGCAGCCAGGTCAGGGTATAGTGCCATCTTTAAGCTCTGAGGTTTTTTTGCAACATGGTGTTCTTGCATTTTCACAAAGAAAAGGAGACCATACCTGTCTTATTCAAAGCTGGTACATTCCCTGATATACAGTAGTTTCCTAGATTATAGTTTCTATGCTTTGCATAGGCTGCTATGTAATTTTTCTCCAGAGCATCTAGAAAGATTATGTGGTGGACCAATCACTGTATCTGTGCAGTAGGGATATGCAGATCTACAAAGTTTGCATCTGTGGACTTTGTCTCTTTCCTGCCCTGGTGCCAAGTTCTCTTGCTGTTGGCTTTGGGAAGGACAGAATCTATCCTTTTATTCAGAATCTATCCTTTTGCTTTTATTCAAATATGCATACATTTGTACATGTTTCATATTATATGTGCTTTCCCATCTGACCTAAGTGTGTTTAAGAAGTGTCGTGCGTGCATTTGAAATGTGCCCAGTTTCCACACTTCAGACATGCCCAATTTTGTGGGAAAGGTGTGCCCACAGCCCTCTGTGCACTCCACAGTATGGATTCTATAGTTCCTTTCCCTGGTGTGGAGGTGAAAGCCCTTTTAAAAAGGGTCTTTCAAATCCATTATATAGATTTCATTATAACCCATAAAAGGGGATCTACTTTTTTTTTTAATTTAACACTGAGATATGTTTGGTGAGCTGCTCTGTGCTGCCAGAAATGGAAATCTAGAACTCTGTGCAACTGTAAAGTTATCCAGCTGTGATTTTATATTCACACAAATGCAAAGATTGGCAATGCTTGTGGAAGATTTGGCTCATTGTCCTCAGTTTCCTGATGATACCGAGTGCAGGTGATGTTCATTGTTTTGTTGCTTCTCTTGCATTCTTTGTTCTAGATCCAGCTGTTGCTTGAGATTGCTTGGCCTTTGTTTATCTTCTTCATACTGATCTCTGTGCGGTTGTCTTACCCACCCTATGAGCAGCACGAATGTAAGTATAAAAGACGTGAACTTACACCACTAAACATTTTAAATATTTAAAATCTGGAATTCAGACTTGGATGTAAGCAGTTGATAACACAGTTCCATAAATTGCTACTCTGAATTAAGTTTCACTGAGTTCAGTAGGACTTGATTATAGGTTAAGCTCAGGGTAAAATGGTAAGTTGGGATAGTGTCTGCTACTCTGAAACTTGAGTGTTTCCACCATTTCTTAGCTCAGTTGGTGTCTTATTGAACACTTGATTCATAACTGAAAACAAATTGTAGAAAAGTTGAAAAGAAGTTGACAAAGAGTTCATTTCTCACTGGGTACAAGCATATTCCATACCTTGGAAAATGACCTTTGTGGATCACAGCTTCTACCCAGGATTGCCTAGCCAGCAAGGCCATTGAACTAGATAAATTACACCAGCCATTCTTTTTCAACTGAAATAGAGTGCTTAGAAGTTGCTTTTTAAGCTTAGCTGGCTTACCTTGATCATGAAGTGCCCGAGTCGACATAGCTAGTAGCTGTACTGACCTGGAGATTCTGAGACTTGTCATCCAAAAAGATAACTTTCATAAGCTCTGAATTTCTTTCATTAGGATCTGTTGTTGATCAGGTTCATGTTCTCCCATATGGTATTTCCTTTTACTTATATGGTGAGCATGGCCAGATGCAAAAGCGGATAGGACTTCTGCTGCTTGAATAGCTGCATAAAAGAGAGAATGGCAGAAGATGTAGCTTGTCCTACAAGCTCAGCTTCTGAAATTGTGTCTTCTAAAGCAGGGGTCCCCAACCCCTGGTCTGCAGCCCGCTGCTGGTCCGTGGCCTTCGCAGGATCGGTCCACGGAAACAGATCTCTCCCCCAGCACACACTGCCCCCCACATGCACACATGGCCCGCTGACCTGCATGTACGGGTGCTCCACCCACCCGCACGTGCACGTAAGCGTGCCCTGCTCACCTGCGAGTGTGCCACACCCACCTGCAAGTGCACCATGCTCACCCCCTGCATGCATGTGAGTGTACCCCTCCTCCACTGCAAGCACACCATGCACACCTACAAATGGGGGGTGCCCCGCCTTCCCCCGTGCACAGACCCCCACCTCCCCAACCAGTCTGCGGTTCAGAAAAGTTTGGGGACCACTGTTCTAAAGAACTGTTTAAGGAGCCCTGCCTTCTTTTGTGTCTGGCTCCTCTTAATCACTGATACATCAGTGGTTCCCACCTTGGGTAACCCAGTTTTTCTAGAATTCCCAGGAGCTTTTGCCACCAGCTGTGCTACTTGGGGCTTTCCGGGAGTTGCAGTTCAAGGACACCTGATTTGCACAAGGTTGAGAACCACTGTTGTACACTCTCTGTGAACATGAGAAATGACTGTTGTAGAGAAATACTTCCTGAAGGAATCCCTTCGTGTCATAATTACTTCCTGTGTTAGGAAACGGCTGACTTTTCAGAGGAACGGCTTTTCAAAGAGAGAAGAAGTGGCCTGATGATGTGATATAATGTGCTGTACATTTCTCTTTGCCTTCCAGGTCATTTTCCAAACAAAGCCATGCCTTCAGCTGGAACACTGCCCTGGGTCCAGGGGATTATCTGCAATGCCAACAATCCTTGCTTCCGCTACCCAACACCTGGGGAGTCACCAGGCACTGTTGGGAATTTTAACAAGTCAATGTGAGTGCTGGCCATTTATTTCTTAATTAATCTCCTGCTCAGAGAGAAGTTTGAGGGCTAGTAGAGAGGAATTGAGGCAAAGCAATCATGCAGTACGTTGCGTTATTAAGAGTACAGGCTGGTTGTTGTTGTTGTTGTTTATGTACCTGGGGGATTCTCTTTATAGAAATTAAGAAACTGTAGTTGGGAAGGCAGCAAACGATGGAAAAGGGGTTGAAGTGGGTGAGGTGGCATTATCCAGGCAGAAGACACATATCCTGTGCACATGCAGCACATGTTATGCTTGCTGCTTCCTGATGCCCTAGCAGGCTGTGCAACTCAAAGGCTTTTGCAGCCATAGATACCTTTGCATGGAGAAAGGCAGCTGCTGACCTATATCTAATAAACCAGAATATCCCTGCGGAGGCTGGTGTATGGTCCCGTAGGCCTCTGGGATATTTCCTTGGCAGCCTTGGTGACAGGAGGAGAAAATCCATATGCCTTATGAAACGTAATGTCTGAGAGAGGTAGGACTCAGACAGAGGCAGATCCAAAAGTCGAGCCCGTGCATCTCTCCTTTCTTTCCACCAACATTTTACTCAGAACTTGGAAGAGTTATACTCTTCTACAGTTTCCAGAATCTAAGCTTTGATTCTACCCATCTCACAATTTAAGGGATAGAAACAAGCTGTCTAAAGCTGGAATGGAAACAAACTACCTTCCAATATTCCAAGTCTCTTTCCTGGTTTTTTGAAGACTCAGTGTTCACATGTACTGTGCTCCCTGTCTGAGGCCATGTTTGATACTACTAACTGCTTGCATCAACGTTCATACTTCATTTGGCATCTATACCCCTAAAAGAGGTTGGTATGGAATGGAATGACTGTAGTTTGTGATGTAAAAGAACAAAACATTTCTATGAACAGTTCCTCAAAACGTAATCAAGACTGCAAGATTTGCCCCACTCAGTCTGCCACCACACCAGCCAGCCCTAGATGTTTTCTTGGCTGAGACAGAAAATCTATGTGTCGCCACTGCTAAGTAACACCAGGCGCAACCTGCCAGCCTAAAGCTTATTAAAATTATCTTGTGGTGGTTTAGTGTAATGTACGAGTCTCCCTATAGCATAGGCTCACCAGGCAATGTACTTATGAAAAATAAAATGGTACCAATAAAATGCAGCAGCCCAAAATAAAATTATGTTTATTTTCAAAGCAGAGCCTTAAAATACCAGTAATGTCAATAAATGCAAAACACTCTAAAATAATCATAGGCAAAATAATCACAGAACTAAAACAGCTCAAATTACAACCAGAGTAAAAGAAGTAAACAAAGCCTGGAAAATTTACTGTTTTATACTACAATTCCAAGAGTTATAACAGGCTCAGGGAGCATTAGTAAACAATAACAACAACAACATTTTGTTTTGCACAGTCGGGATGTAAAACACAAAATCTGACCATGAGCTTGCAATAAAGCAGTAGTGCATCTGTTTCAGTGGGACTTGCACAGATGAACTTGTGGGTTCAGAAATCTAGCTATTTGCATTACAAAGAACAGAAATGGGGTTATGCAACCTAAACTAACATTTTTTTCCCATCTGTTTCCCTTTTGCTTCTTTACTGTTTCCTGAACTGCGTCAGTGTTTCCCGATTATTCTCTGATGCCAAACGCTTGCTCTTGTATAGCCAGCATGACACCACTATCAAGGATGCAGAGACAGTCGTGGGAAAACTTCAGAAAGTTGGGAAATCTTTTACAGGTAATGGAACAAAGTGTGTGTGGTGTGTTTTGAAGTGTGATGTCATGGCAGTGATTTTGAGGCTGGGCAAAAGGCCCTTAAAAAACGGATTCCACAATGCCTAAATGAGAGATGCGCGGGAAGGGCTTACAGGCCAACTCCGTTTACTGGGCTGGTAAAACATGACCTCACATTTCATGTATGTGGAGAATAAATGCCTTATTCAGTTATCTAAAAGAGAGGTGGAGAAAGGGGGGACATGTTCATTTCCAGACCTGTGCATGGCATTGGTGGCCTGAAGCAGATAGATGGGTGAAATGGAAAGCTTTGCACAAAAGTGGAGCCATTATAGTGATGTTGGACTATAGTCAGATTATTAGTTTTTTAGTGTGTGTATATCCAAGTGATATGGAGAGCTAGAAGTGAGAAAAATCAAGTGGAATGTTCAGGTCATGTTGCTTCATTTTATTGCAGTTTTACTTTTTGCAATACATATAAATACACAACAGAAGTAGAATTTGCAAATCATTGCATGGTCAACGGTAACAGCATATAATTTCTGTGGCCTGTATCCTGTTCAGTATTTGAGTTGCAGCGGCAGTCTAACAAAATACATGTTGTATGCAGTCACATGCCTGATTGTGCAATCGGGTCATGTGATCAGGTACACAACTGTGTGCAACCAGCACGTCATCAGATTACTGGAGCGGATTCTGTAGTTGAAGGTCCACACTTGTAAATACTGACTTAAAGCTAAGGATTTGACTACACAACTTGCTTTGCGGTAGCCATCCACAGTAATACGATCGACCATCATGTTGCAGGAAGCCACTGAGGCAGAGGCAGAAAGCTGTAATTGTAAGGAGAAAGGCATATTGCTTGAGATTGGAATTTTCCACTTGGTCCACCCCTTCCCTTCATCTTCTTTTTTCTTTTCTTTTCTTTTTTTAAATTCTGAAGTGAAATAGTGCTTATCTCATACAGTGGGGTCTTGACTTGAGAACTTAATCCATATTGGAAGGCGGTTCTCAAGTCAAAAAGTCTGTAAGTCAAGTCTCCATTGACCTACAGTGCACTGAAAACCGATTAATCCCGTAACAGGCCGTTTTTGTTCCATTTTGGGTTTTTTCTGGTCTGTAAGTCAAATCTCAGTCTGCAAGTCAAACCTAAATTTTGCGGCCAGAGAAGTCTGTAACTCAAAAAGTCTGTAAGTCAAGCCGTCTGTAAGTCAAGGGTCCACTGTACAGTGCTACCTTTGGCATGCGTAATTTTAAAAGAGAGAATAATTGCTTGGAGGAATAGAGACAAAAGATGCTCAGCTGAGAGGAACTGATGTAGTTCTCCACCTGCTAAAATGTTTATGACCACCCCCCTTTGCATCAGATCAGGAGATCACACATGCCAGAAAAGTGATGCCAGCCGAATAGGAGCAAAATAAACTACCATATGCTGGCTGAACAAAAGAGACAATTTCCTGCTGGAAAACACTGGGCTTCTCCATGCTTAGCTTTATGTTTTGTAGTCCCCATTTTTTACTTTGATGTTATTGTCTTATACTGTGGAGTAAATAGCCAATGTATTCACCCTGTTAAACATATGGGATCTAGTGAGATTATTCTGTTGGTGGGTGTTAGTGGCAGTCTCTCCTCATGCATCCTCAAAATCTGTTCCAGAATAGCTTTTTGCCTTTCGGAGCAGGTTTTAAAAGAGTGTGTGGATGAGCTGCTGAAAGCAAGGGAAGACATTCATGTTGTGCTGGGACTTAGGCTTTAGGCCATGCCTTTGCCAGAGATAAATCATTTTCAGTTGGAATTTGAACGCTTCTTAAATGACACTGAGCAGCAAATGAAGACTTAATATATCTTGAACTTTTAATTTGCAGTATTAAATGGGGTCAGCATACCATGAGTATGAATATTATGTTTTTCTGAGTACGCTGTGTGGCTAATAGGAGCGTATGTGTGAGCACGTGTATTTGCATATATAAAGAATAAGAATTTTGTGAGATTGGAAGGAGAGAAGGTGAATCTGTTGGTGTCCCCTAGCCTCTAGTGGAATTGACATTTTTCCATTTTAACACTTTGAAAAACTGATGTAGTTGAGCAATAAGAAGAAGAATATGACCAATGGTTAAGTTGTGCATTGCTTCTCAAATGTTCAAAGTGTTTATAATCATTATCTCAGTAATTATTACAATAGGTTGCTGTTATTGCCTCCTTATTCAACATGTGTTTGAGCATCTGTGCATGCTATATGTACACATGTGGAGACTGAATAAAATTGGTGCTCAAAACCACATAATGTGTTTATGACTGAGGTAAACTGTGATCTCTGACATTAGCTCCAATTCTGAAATCTGAGCTGTGTTGCAACAGTAGATTATTATAGTCAGAATCCTGTTGGTGCATGCAGACGGTGAATTGTCACGGTGGTGAATTGTTACTAATGGGAAACTGGTTGAACTATGAGGCATGCAGCTAGTTGCTCAACAGGCACACACTTAATACTGTGGCTAGTGGCTTGTTAGTTAGCAGCAGTTTGCCATGGCGAACTGCACAGTTTAATGTATGCGTAACTCACCAGCAGGATTGTGGCCAGTAAGGATAATAATAAAACGAAAGTGAAATTTCTGAAACTAATGCTAGAAAATGCTAGCAAATTGATTAGAAAAACAGCTCCTGGGTCAAATACATATTTCTTTGATAAGGCAGTTCAAATTATGGCAGTCCAAATTTCAAATTGTGCTTAGATCAGTGTACATTAAAAAAAAACTGAAGGAGAACATTGTTTGCTGTAATTTGGAACGTCTCTGAATGACAGGCTCTGTATTGTTAGTGAAGACTGTAGTGAACAAAAGTGTGCTTGTTCTTTATGTTGCACTCGCACAGTCTCCAGGAACATTAGTCAGAAGCTCTTCTAGCCATGACTTATAGCTGCAGGGCTCCATCTCCGGCAAAATGGGTTTGTGGGGGAAATGCCCACAATAATGAACTCGGGATGCATTATCCAAAAGCTGAGAGGAGACCTCAAAAGCTTACATGTAATGATAGTGTTCTCACTTATGTGATTGGTAAGAAAATTTAAGGGAAACGTTTTTCCAAGTCAAAGGGCTATGCTGGCTGTGGAGAGTGGGAGTTGTTGCCTGAAATCAGGAGGGCACCCAGTTGGGGATGCCCTGTATGATGCTCATGCCAGTACTACGTACAGATGGTCACAAGTAGAAATGTTGACTGCAGAGATGAATGGCTTGGGACCTCTGTATACTACTGATCCTTTTAATGGAAAGAAATCCAAAGAGCTTTGCCTCTAGAGCTTTGGGAAAGGAGGAAGAACTGTGCTCTGCACATGCACTTGAACAGCTGTTGTGCCAGGTGTGTGTGTGTATCTAAGTCACCTAGAGTTCAGTGTAGCTATATGGGTTTAGGATTGCACCTTTGGATAGTGAAACAAGAGGGTGAAGAGAAAAAGAGAGCTTTTTGATTGGGATTTCAAGAATGCAAATGCATGTTTGAAATAATTATAAAACTGAAAATGGAAAGTCATTTCTTATAGTTAGAGTAATGGAATCAATGTTTGGTAAGAACCATAAATAAATCCCAGAGGAGTACTTAGCTGAGCTTTTCTGGAGTCATGCTAAGGTTCCAGAACAGGCCATCTCAGGTCCTCATAGAAATGAAAGAATAACTGAGTTGGGAAGGGGCCTATAAGGCCATCTAGTCCAACCCCCTGCTCAATGCAGGGATCCAAATCAAAGGATATCTGACAGATACTTGTATAATTTTCTCTTGAATGCCTCCAGCGCTGCAGTGCTCATTACCTGTACTCTAGCAAGTACAAAGTTTCCCCCAATATTCAGCTGAAATCTAGCGTCCTCTAACCTAGTGGTCCTCAACCTTGGGCCTCCAGATGTTTTTGGACCACAACTCCCAGGAGCCTTCACCACCACTTCTGCTGGCCAAGATGTCTGAGAGTTGAAGTCCAAAGACATCTGGAGGCCCAAGGTTGGAGACCACTAGGTTAGAGGACGCTAGATTTCAGCTGCACTCTGGAATGATTGAGAACAGACCCTACTTCTCCGCTGTATGACTGTCTTTTAAGTATTTTAAGAGTGCTATACTATCTCTCCTCAGTCTTCTTTTCTCAAGGCAAAACATGCCCAGTTCTTTCAGTCTTTCCCAACAGACCTTGGTTTCCAAAGCCCTAATAATCCTTACTGCCCTCCTCTGAACTCGCTCCAGTTTGTCAGCATCTTTCTTAAAGTATGGTGTCCAAAACTGGACACAGTACTCTAGATGAAGCCTAACCAGTGTTGACTAGAGGGTAGCTAATACTTTACCAAATCTGGAGACTATACCTCTGTTAATACAGCCTAAAATAGTATTTGGCTTTTTTGCAGTCACATCACGTTGTCTTGCAGTCTACAACACAATCCTTTTCGCTTGTAGTATTACTGAGCCAAGTATCCTCCATATTTTAATTGTGTGCTTGGTTCCCCCCCCCCCGGTGTAGAACGTTGCACTTATCCCTGTTAAATTTCATTATGTTGTTTTCAGTTGGGTGCTTGTGCCTATCAAGAATTCTTTAAATTTATTTCTGTCTTCCAGCGTATTGTAAATTTTATTCTAGAAAGTGACAGAAACTTTCCTTTTGAAAACATATTTTTAAATGCCCTGTTTGACTCTGTCTGGCTTTTGGGTGGAATATTTATTGCACAGTTGTGACCAAGTGGGAGGGCATCCACACCCCCAATTTTGAGTTGAGACACACCCAGTCCGCTCAGGTCATCAGCCATCTAAGGGAGTATCTGAAGTATTCAGAATTACTTTTGTGGTCTTTATTTTCTGGTTTTTTTTCATGTTTAAATGTTTAGTGTTCTGAAGGATGTTTCAAATGGTTACATTAACTGCATTTTTTTCTTGTCTGTTGGTTGAGTTTGCAGCTGGAAAGGCAGGGTATAATTTTTAAAAAAATAAAAACATAAACAGTGAGAACCAGAGCAGTGTTCAGATTTTTTCCCCCCA